TCGCACGTTACTACATCATATCATATTTCATTATATCGTCATAACATTTTATAACAAGAAAAGAGAAAACCCAGCAAAACATAAAAATACAAAAATCCGCTTCCTCAACACATCCATGAGCAGATATGTGCTTGCATTCAATGCGCCGGTATCGTCTGCTGACTTTTAACTTAAAGATTAATGCCCTTGTTGGTGTTTGTTACTCATCTACCCGACCGACTGTGGTCTTCAGTGGTTCGCGTGTAAAGGACCATATTGCATTGTGAGCGATAAATCTGACCTACGTCGATTGATGATGTAAGCTGCTCTCACAGTCTGTCTGCAAATAATATCTTACAAGCGTCATCCCACATTTTAAGGCATCGAAGCCTCGTTCTAAACAAAAGCAACAATGTATGGAATATAAATAATTGGGATTAAAAAAAACAAAACACAAACGCCGATAATTCCGTGCAACTAGTTTCGCATATAATATATGCTTCTTCATGCACAAAATGTTTTGAAATAAACGGATGACGTCTTTACAGGCTAAAATAACAATTACGTCATTACGTAACTTCATAAGACATTACGTCATTAGGTAACGTTATAAAAACAATGCATAATCACAACAACTATATATATGACAGGATCTAAAAGATACACGAGTCTCTAATGAAACCTGAATCAGTAAAAAAATAAAATATAATAGAGACAAACAGTCATACATATAATTATAGTGTTATAAAAGATATACAATTTCACAATTGAAAAGAAAATTATACAATTTTATATAATACATTGGTATTAAGGCCATTAGGATACAAAGTATCTAATGGCCTTAATACCAATGTATTATATAAAATTGTATAATTTTCTTTTCAATTGTGAAATTGTATATCTTTTATAACACTATAATTGTATGTATGACTGTTTGTCTCTATTATATTTTATTATTTTACTAATGGAATATAGATATGAACTCACCAGCGTGCAGCACAGCAGATATTATCACGGTTCGAGGACGTTACAAATAATAATATGAAAGAGACACAGAGTTGTGTTAATCGCTGCGCATAGACCTGATCAAGTACACCTTTCCTATAACTACAACCTTGTTTTTTTTATTGTATAATAATTGTATATTAATACAACTCTGCGTCTCTTTCATAATTATTATTTGCGGTAACGTCCTCGAACAGTGTGACAATATCTGCTGTTCTGCAAGATGGTGAGTTCATATCTATATTCCATACATTGTCGCTTTTGTTTAGAACGAGGCTTCGATGCCTTACAATTCAAGTATAAGGTATAGTAACCTTGTTCATATAGTAATTACACATATTCCAAGTCAGCTGGGGTCGATTATGCCATAGAACTCTAGAGCTAGGTCGGTAAGGACGTATGTCAATATGTCGTTTGAGTTTTAAACGATCCGACCATAACCATTTAAGGTAAGTTCATAGGATTATGTACCTACAGTTTAGCTTGACAAGAAGAAATTTCAAACTCCAATGCGATACACATGCAAAGACAAGGATTTGCTAACATTACTTTATTTACGTCAGTCTACATTACTGGCTACAAAAATCGAAATCACGTGTTCGTACACAATTTACTAAGTTATGACGTCACATAGATACACATGCTGACGTTATAGTTTTTTTTGGGCGTTGCTAAACAGAGTTTCCATATCAAATTGGAGTGTTCGAAAAATACATGGTTCCATCTTTATTTACAGAGATGGACCTTCATGAGGGCGTGTAATAAGAAAAGGTCAGTACCAACTATTTCTTTATGTAAAGAAAGCCGTTTCCTGTATTCCCGAAGAATGGCAGACTGTGACTAAATTGTATGGACTTAAAAAAGCTATTTTATTATAATCGTTACTGTATAGATTCCCGTGTGCGGGTTAGGCTAACGACTTCACTGTACTTAACAGTTCAGATGTAAAGTTGATATAAAGCGGGGATATGGCTTGGTCCTCATACAAGTCTTTTCGTAATATGAAAGTATACGTAGACTTTCCAGTAAAATGCACAATCTCATTTTATTATATTGTACACTGTAAATTTCTCTTATAACCCTTTTCTATATTTCTGTATCTGCTGAATATATTTCATATTCCATTTTCATATTTTCTACCTGCCTAATATATATCGTATCCCATTTCTAAAATTCCTCTCCTAGCCAAATTTTAAGAGTTGGATTAATGTGATGTTAAAAATAGGAAGAAGGTCAGCATGTGATTCAGTGTTGCATTTTCTGCACACTGGTACACTTACCGTTGTATAGAATCAAATTCTAAAAATGGCACTTATTCATAAAATAGCCGGTGTTGAATGCGTACATGACCTGTGTGACTTCAGCTATAATACAAGTCACATGGGTCATGTAGGCATTCAACACTGATTATTTTCGTAAGGGGTGTCATTCTTTAGAATTCGATTCTACATTCCTTTAAGCGGCATGTATTCACTTCATTTGGATTTGTATACTTTCATATTCATTTGGAAGGTCATTATTTAGACGCCCCAATAGGAGCATACGACAAAATCAATGTTAAATGTTAAAGACATCTGGAATGAAATGAACATAAAGGTGTGATACAGTACAATGATGATACAATAAAAGCTACGCATATTGATAAACAAATTTGTAATACCCTCGACAGTGACGATTCTGCTCGACATGCTCTTATTTTCACAAATTTAGTTACAAGCCACCATTGTAAAAGTCCATAACGGTAGATAAATTTCGTCTGGAGGTTTCTTGGTAACAGTTAAGGTGCAGAGCTTTCAATAATGAGGATTAAATAGACTTTGGTTAATGAAAATTAGAGTTAGATTTTAAAGAAAATGTTTTATATTTAATTTAAAATTAGTAAATGTGCACACATGACCAATGTGTCTTGTACTTCATAGGTGTTCCTGGTTTGTACTATCTTAACAGTTTATTTTATTTAAATGAACACCAAAACTGAAAAGTAATTCTCTCAGTTTATTTCATTAAGAAGTCCTTAATTCTTTTTGTTTCGAATTTGTGTACCTTATGCTCTGAAATGTACTCAGTGCTGTTTTTTTGTGAAGTCCATTCAATATTCTTATATCATTTCGTGTGCGTGTACTCCGCTTACCAATTTGAATGCAAAGGGTTTCAAGACATAAAAAATGCAAAAGCTTAGTCACTTCATTCATAAGTCATAAGCTGGAACTTGATTGTCATAAGGGGGTCTCAAACAATCAATATTTTGGTTATTTTGAATCCATCTGGAATTTCTTTAGGAACATGGTCGCCATATTTGTATGAACCAGTCTATGTTTTCAAGTAATAGGTGTGATGTTGCTCGCCGTCTTTGATAATCTCATTATTTTCGTAAATTTTGGAGTTACAGTTCCTCCTTTTTTGTTTAGTTTGTTTTGAAATATTAAAACTAGACATTGCAGATACTGGACATAGTCACAACATTTTCTCCCGCTTGTCGTGTCAGCCTCTTTTAGCTCCAAAATATTAAACATTACCAACAACGGTGTGTTCTTTTTAGCTCAATACAGATTGTATATGTTCTAGTTGGGGAACCTTCCTAATATAGGTAAAAGTAAGAACAGTTGTTTCGGTAAGAAAATTTCAGATATCAGCTTGTGGTTGTAGTAGCAATTCAAGAACAGGGTGAGCGCCATTCATGTAGCATTGTATTTCTAGTTTGAAGCTCTAGTGTGAAAAAAAAAATCAGAAAATCCTCGAGCTTTTCCGTATTATACTATAAAACAGATATCGTACGTATATAGTGACAATTGTGACGGTCATAAGATTACACTCTAGTTTTAAAAAAAATACCTCCTCACTTTTTATTGCCCTTAATTGATCCCCACAATAAACGATAGTCGTTGGAAAAAATACATATAACGATGTTTGATCAATAATTGAATTATCTGTCCTATACAAATTTAATCCGATTTCGGTAACTTTTTAATGACTGAAACGATTTGAAGAAATAGTAAGTTTCAACAGCCTCATACTACTGAATACGTATTTACTGATGATGACACACCAGTTCATTGTGACGTCAATAACATTGTCATTGCTTAATAACATTCTTAAGCAGGACGCTAGTTTGAAATTGCCACAATCTACAACCGAGGTAGACGGGTTCATGGTCACAAATTTGGCTAATGTTACGACATGAACGAGCATTTGTCAACCTTGACCTTTCATAAGGCAAATTTCTACTGGCACTGTATCTAATATAAACAAAAATGGCTCATTTTAAACTGACTACGCTGATATAAAAATTATGCGGATCAAATGAGTTTACTGGAGAAAAAAGTAAAACTTTCAATCAAATGTTGCATTGTGTTTTGAATATTTTACTAAGGGAATGTGTTAATAAAAGGCACATAGCTCTGGAAGTTTGTGTGAACGAGATTACTATTTTTGACAACAGGTATAAACTCGAATAATTCTGTAACTTTGGAAATTACACCCATTTGAATCCATGTATATAATAGTTAAACTACTTGTTCTTTATATTTTTGGTAATTGTTTTGGAGACTTATTGAAGCTAGACATTGCAAAATTTAGATGCAGACGATGTATTATTTTACCGTCTATATATATGGGTAGCAACACATGACACTTGGGTGTCATAAAAGAATTTAACATTACGCCGTAGGTTTACGTTATGGAGGGGGACACTCTAGAATCATAATGGGAAATCTTATTTTAAAAATGTCCATAGGCTCAAGCGGTAATTTAACCCTGGAAAAAGTGTATAGTCCAACAGGATTTACTATGAGAAAGAGTTATGGGGTCTGACATCAATTTTACATGCACACTCAGACATACAAACAGAAGTAGGAGTATTGATAGACACACTATTACCAACACGTATACTATGACACACAAAAGGGAAGTTTTATGGTTTCGTTTGGTTGTGAATATCGACATAGACATGTACAAACAAATAACATGAAACACATAGAGTGGCAATAGCGTTATTATTATTTCAATTCTTCAATAGGGACCGCTTCGGTGGCCTAGTGGTTAGAGCGTACGTCTTGGATGCGGGAGGTCGTGGGTTTGATCCCCGGCAGAGTCATAACGAAGACTTATAAAAATGGTACTAACAGCTGCCTCGCTTGGCACTCAGCATTAAGAGGTTAGTGTTAGGACTGGTAGGCCCGGTGTCAGGACAATGTGACTGGGTGGAACAGAATGATACATGTCTTCAGCACTATGACCCAGTGCTAGACATCACTATACAGTGCCATACTACAGACATCGTAGTGATATGGCTAAAAATTGTTAAAGCCACGTTAAAATTCGAAATCGCACATCACACATTTCAATAGGTTTGAAAGGGCCGTTGGGTTTTGTCTTATTTCGATGACGATTATTTATATTCAGGACATCGATGCCTCTCAGGCCATCTAGGCAACAAAGCCACATATCGTCTGTGTACTCCTTGTGAAGAGGACCCAGAATATTAAGCCTAAAATCAGCCTCATCAGCTTCATCTCCCAATCTTCTGTCTGTTGAATTACTTGGCGATGAGTCTTTTTGTCATAGCTGCTGATGCGGTAGCTCCTCTATCTAATCTTTCTCAGCCCTCTGTCTCATTCCCTAAGTGCCTCTCGTACTTCTGTAGCTTCCTTCTTTCAAGCTACTTTCCTGTTCCTGACCTCTCTAACGAACATCTTTCATATTTTGAGTGAGGTCTTCTCTGTCTAAAGATGTCTCTTGTGGGACAACACCCAATTTCCTCAACCTGATCTAAAAGCCAAAGTTGTTCCACGCTCTCCATCAAACTGATAACTCACATCAATTTTCCAATTCTGCAATGCTAGCTAATCATTCCTCTTTGTAAACGAGTCGATGATGAATGGTAAAACTGAATAACTGACTTATCTTGAATTAACTACGTGTGCGGCCATTCAGCCATTTAACCTGATATACCCTGAAACATATGTAAAAAAAACGTGAACACATTACACATTTTAATTATTTATAGAGTGGTATAGAAGCCGCCACTTGACGCTTTAATGCATGCACCGCATGCCTCTTAATTATCATGTCCTGGCCCTGGAAAGGAATAGTCCCACTGGGATCACAAAGCGGCAGCAAATCTCTACTGAAACGCCATAAATGTACTAGCTACAAAATATTGTGCTGAATTATCTAATTAAGGCTGTGTATAACACCTAGTTAAACTACGCTTGTAATTCGAATCAACCTTTCCATTTTTTAAAATATTCTATATTACACATATTTTGAAAAACTAAACTTTGTGTACATAGCGTACTTTAACTTCTGAAAAATGCAAGCTTTCCACTTTTGGCTGCATATTCTGCATAGACATTGTATCCACAAAAACAGTATCACTCTTCTATTTTTCCTTTTATCATTTTGTTATCTTCTACTATCGTCTCCTCTCGCAGGACTTGTTCGATATGGTCTCGGGCCATTTTGTGAGAAATGGTGTTTTTTCCTCCATTAGCTCTCAGTGAATTTGTGCTTTACCCAGTTCATGAGTACATTTGCGTCAGTTTGTTTAGCAATTTTAGTAATAGCTTTTGATAAGTCAACGATTGACGGCAACACTTATTTTGATTGATTAAATTTGAATTTGAGTCATATATAGGTCTTCAGTGATTAGGAACATTTTAGCTACTCGCACTGCGTCCTAGTTAATTTTGGCGCTATGTCTGTTTGAGGCCAAGTTAGAAAACCTAAGTCCGGAGGCACAAAGATTTATACGACAGTTGCTCTCTTTGTCTAATTTTGCACAGTTTGTTTTGTAGTTGGGAGTCCCTATCGACCAGTTATATGTTAGACTCCAACAAGCGAGAGTTTCCTATTTACCTACGCTTGCTAACATCAGTACCATTCTTTCTTACAACATATGTTTATTTGTTCCTCTTACAGTGTGAACTTGTTGAACATCTATTCTTTTGGGCCTGTCTTTAGGTGTATCTGTCCATTTTTGTTTCGCCATTATCTTCCCGTCTTAAAATGAGTGAATAATGACCCCTCCTAAAGTGAGTGAATAATGACCCCTCCTAAAGTGAGTGAATAATGACCCCTCCTAAAGTGAGTGAATAATAACCCCTCCTAAAGTGAGTGAATAATGACCCCTCCTAAAGATCTTCTTCCACCTGATTTCAGAATATTAATTTGGGTCTGATTATCGATATTTTTGTGACATAGATATTTTATGTTTAATATAAAAATAAAAAATAAAAACAAACCAAAACGATAACCAACAACAACAACAACAAAGTTTTGTCGTGGAATATGATACCTTGTAACAAGTACCTTGCAATCAATGTAAACCATTGTAACATTTCTATGAGACGAACTCGTAACATGCTGATGACTCTAGTTCCTCTTTTTCCTGCGATGTATGTCGCACTGTGCAGGGATCAGTTTAAAAGGAAGATGAGATTGAAAGGAAATAACTTTGCATATTGTTAGAAGGAAAATATTTAATTTTTTATTGTTATTTTAGACAGACGTTAACGAATGTGACCTGCACTTTTTTGGACCTTCTTGACACGAATCGTGAAACAAATCTGTACTAAATTGCAAATAATCGGATGTGGTAAATTTGCAATCGTTGAGCACATGCACATTGTGGTGATTGATGATATCACCTTATACATAAATAAGTTAAGGTATTTCTAACGTTTTGGTTTACACTTAAACTTGATATTGGTCTGTTGAATTGCTAAACAACACCACATATTGTGCACTGAGACTGATGGGTCTATGCACTTTGTGTTGTTGAAATAGATTAATAGATTTTGAATGATGTATCATAATACGTTCCATTTCGTGCAAAGTAAAGTTAAATTTCTTATTTGCCTTCTCCTAATATGTCATTCAAGTTGACAAGATATGTTGGACTAAAGTCAGATACGGTCACATCTTTGCGAAGAGTTTCGTTCTGCGCACGAAATATATTCTACTTGACATTTTTTCATTAAAATGTACACCTGTTACCACTCTTCGTAGCACCATACGATACGCTGTGGAGTAAACTTCAACAGCTTTTTTGTTGTGCTCAGTAAGACGTTTGACAAACCCTATTTTGCCTAAACAACTGTGTCCAGGAATCAAACTTTTAAAGGGATTTGGGATGATACAGTACATTCCAACTTTGTTGATATGATGTTTTTTCAATCACTTTGATAATGGAGAACACAGCCAAACCAAATTTATTGAGAATTATGAGATAACATCAACGACAAAAGACATTTTATATACGTTTATTGTTTCGTTTTCTTTCATATTCGTGTAACACAGCAAGTACATACACATTTACATGTCAAAACACACAAAAGTTTATGTATTTATTTTCTTGGAGCCGTTACACACAAAGACTTTGGCATAATTAGCGACCTTCGATACTGAAGCATCAAATTTAAACATTTTCCGTTCACTTTCAGTCTGCAAAATTAAAACACGTAAACCAAATAAGACACAAATCATTCGATGCATAAGTATGAGACAAATTAATGTCATCAAAGCTAAATATACACAGGTACGATTACAACATTCTCTATCTAACTGCGTAGCATTCAGTCTATGTAAAAGCTGTATCAACTGTTCTCGTCTCTATGGAGTTAATCTGCCATAACCTTTCTAGGTCTGTAATCTCATTCTTTTCTAATAACTGTCATGGACTCGTAGTATTTCTTCTTCTATTTCTGCATGTTCTCTCTCTCTCTCTCTCTCTCTCTCTCTCTCTCTCTCTCTCTCTCTCTCTCTCTCTCTCTCTCTCTCTCTCTCTCTCTCTCTCTCTCTGCTTCTATGTCAAGCATCTTATATACTCTGTATTTGCCTTCACTAAAATAGGTTATAATTCTACTTTAACTGGTGGCTCTTCTCCAATTCAAATTCGTTGATAAGCCAAACACAAACGTCTCTGACATAATCATTATTGACCCCGTGTGTGTCAAAGAATGGAAGCCAAGACTTTTCCAGTCACATACGTAAATCTGGTCGTAAATCTCTCGATGTTAGCAACTTCCCTTGTAAGTATGAAGAGTCGATTAAGTAGGACGAACGTCTTCTTCAAAAGGAGGTCACAACTTGCATTTATCACTATTTGAAAAACTCTTAATACAATGAGTTGTTAATGCAAAGGTAAAGCGTTGGGAATGTCTTTTAAACTATTTGAACATTTTTAGATATTAAACACTTCTAACGTTCACACACAAGTGGTTAAAACGTCTGTGCCGTAGATGATGCAATTGTACTTTGTGTTTATATCTTGAATCTGTACAAAACTCTATGTAAATGCTTTCTCGCAGCTCAGGAGGTAAACTACGAATTCATTTTTCTAAAATATTCATGAAGAAAATAATCATCTCTACCAAGAAAGTAGTGAAAACACAAAAGACCATCTGGCTATGCCAGGAAAGTTGAATCTTTATACTCCCATTGTTGGGTCTTCAAACTATTACTTACCACTGTTTTATCTCTTCAGCCCAAATAGACAAATAAAGCTCTGGGAAAACTGCTGGCAGTGAGTAATACATCCATATAATTAGGATATTCGTTGAGTGTCCTCAACTGACTATCGAAGGCACAATAGCCTAGCAAAACTACAGGAAATTTATTTTCTATTTTGATTTGTAAATCTCAATGATCTAGTGGTATCCAGAACGGCTTGCGAGTTCATGGATGACACCCATAGGTAATAGTTGAAATTCTATGCATTGTTCTTGATAATATTTCTAATTAAATTGTCTCTCATCAACTGAGAAATGGTGAGCTTTGCTTATAACGTATCGATGGCAATTATCGGAAAGCATATCATCTTGCTCCAAGTATTGTAGGCGGAGTTTAAAATCCATTCCGCAAAATCAGTAAGGTTGTGTGTGGGATCAAGGAAATATGTCTTCTCGTTCTCTTGGAATCACATTACAATTTTTACAGTAAAAATAATTTTTACAGTAGAAAGAAATTTCTAAATGAATTTGTTTAAAGTACGATTAGACTCTCAAACCTTAAGGATGTGAATTCCAGTATCTTTGTAACCATCAGTGAAAAAAAACCCCGGAAAAACCGCACATCTGGTATACATCTTGTTTT